GCCAAACTCATAAAATTACAAGTAAGTTTCTATATGCAAATGTCATGTAAATAGTTTTATTTCTTCCAGAAATCTTAAGTATTTAACTTAATTACAATGCATAAGGCAGATTTATCTTACTCATCACTGCCAGTAAAGAACAGAGGGCACAAAAATATAATGTTCAATCTGCCAAATGTTATTTCCTGTTCTCAGCTATTACAGAGTATGAACTGCACTGAATTTTCCTGGTATGGGCTAACATTCACCCATATTGTGTTTCCTGTCCTGCAGACTAATTATTTGCTGCTACTACTGTAAGCAAAGCAATGTTATCAAAATTAAACTGATACCTACCAACTTTAATGAACGTATGAACTACAGTCTTTATTTGAAAGATGCAAGTCACGCATCTTAAGAGCACAAAGTTGTTCCAGGAACCCTTCACAGGCAGGAGGTATCAGTGATTACCAGGGGTCTACTACTTTGTTCTGTAATCTGAGAAACCTTCAACACATAGCTGGATCCAGCAGCAACACAATGATGTCTTTACTGGAAGCTCCTTAGAGACTACCAGCAAAAAGAATTACATGGAATTTAACAAACAAACAAAACAAACCTTTAAAAACCCAAACAAACAAACAGACAAAAAAAACCCCCAACCAAACAAAGAAAACAGTTGAAGACAGCTGAGGGACCACATCTGGACAGGTCTGATGTATACACTGCTGGTATCATAACACTTCGTTTGGAGGAACATGAAAAGCTTGCATCAGCTAAAATCCTGGAACTTCTAGAGTAAAGGAATTTAATTTAAAATATGTGGTACAGGTATGTGACATCCAGTTGAACACAGGGATAAATTCAGCAAGAGTTACAAAACCAAAGTTAAGATCGCATGCAGATCAAGAGCCAGACCATGAATTTTTAATTTTTTCTTTTAGTTAGAAAGGTTTCTAGGAAAAAAATACTTGGGCTTGGATACATGTTCTCTCTGAACTCTTCCAAAAAGAAGGGGAAAGATGCTTTTAACTTGGATTTGGACATCTTATCATACTTTAGTATGCTTAATTTTTTAAGAGATTGTTCCTGATAAAATAACCATTTGTTAATTAAGGAGAAAAATACTGCAAAGAGTTTGCTTTATCCACTAGCTCTTTACAGTTCATGCTACCAACAGTTTTCTTTACCATTCACGTACTTTCATTGATCTGAGAATTCCTGTGCAGTAAATATGTATCTAAATATATACAGTTTTATTTATAGGCTCTCTCTTGCTGTATACACTTTTACTAATACCATCTATTAAACTCCTACTAAAAAGAAGTCAGTGCATACAAGTAATTCTGCAAATATGCTTGGTCAATTTCTATTTTAACTCCCACTTAGATTTCAGGAAAGCGAGAACCTAAAGTCACGGCTTTAAACAAATCTTCTTTACTTTCTATGGAAGGTATGCATTTATAGTAAATTGAAGCCTGTTGACCATGTCTTTACTGTTTACTTAATTATGTGGTTCACAGATTGTGCAGTCCACAAAACAAATTAAACCCACTGAAATTCCTCTCTTATTTTAACATCCACTTTCAGGTGTAAAAACTTGTAGAAGCCTTTGGTGTAAACAGCTGCTTCCTGCTTACTGCAAAAATGGCCAGCTACCTTCCACTCAAGCAACACTGAGCACATGCCTTTTTACCTAGGAAAGAAAGGTATGCACAAGTCCTCTATACCTTGTTCTGCAGAAACACATAACAGCAAAGAGATAGGAAATCAGATTGTTATTCAAATAGTGCAAACATTTCATTGCTGCAGTCCTTGTTCTACCTGGCACTTGTCTTGCAGTTCAGGTACAACTGCCCTCCCTTGCTGATTAAGCTTTCTTATTGCTATGTAATTTGAATGTATGTATTCATATTGAAGTTTATATGATGAATTGTACTGAAGGACATCAAGAACACTACATGAAGATCATCTGCTTGAGTAAGCTTCTCAGCATATTACTAATAAGTCTGCGTCTACACCCACTTGCTATCCAGATGAATAGTATCTGTGATATTTTACCTTGAGCTACATAAAACATTACAGAATAGTTATTTCTAGTAAACAAGAAACTGGAAACTAGACTCCATTGTGATTACTGGACAGAAACTGGAACACAAAGAAACAAGACTAATTAACAATGTTTACAACAATTTCCATCATGCTCAGTTCTAGTAGTGATTTAGAGCTTCAGAGGCTGAAATAGCCAAAGAAAGTCCAAATGGTATGGCCATGCACTTTTCCACCTGTAGCAAAAGAGAACTTCAGGATGAATACCTGCAACCAGGGAAAGTTTTCTAGTGATCTAGCAGACAGATTAATAGATGCAATGCTGGAAAGGTATGAAGCAGTGTGGCAAACTGTTCATTCTTCTCACTTAAGAAAAAATAATCACCTTCATAGCTAGACACGGTGAATAAAGGCAAGCTACAATCCCGTACCACAGTGCACCAAGTCAAAGGTCTATGATCAGTTCCTTCTCCAGCCCTCCTACTGCTGAGAATACTACAAGCTTTCAACAACTTTTTCAAGTCATGGTGTTTCCATAAAATGAATGAAAATTTGAAATGAATGAAAATAAAACAACACAGGAATGGAACTTGACACCATATACCAAAGGCAAGTGAACTGCTTTACTGCACTTTTGAAGTATCAAATTTGCAAACTGACACAAATTTTCAGACTTCTCCTACTTAACACCAATGCTGCAGCTTAGATGATCACTGTACTCATCTTCACCTCTTCTTTTTTCCTGCTAATTCTTGAATTTGATCTTCTTTGCAATTCACTCCCAGCAGCAGTTCTCAATTGCTTTCTTCACTTATTTCATTTCCACCCCTAGCATTCTGAACAGAATGGGATCACTACAAGCTTAGGAAACATATTCTGTTGCCAATTTTTACCTTCATTCTCTAAAATCACACATCCAGATAAGAAGGATAATTACAGCAACAAATCCCAAGTTACAGTAAAGTATCTGTCTAGAGCTGTAGCTTGCTCAGGTACCTCAGGGTGAAAATCATCTCGAGTACTCGAAATCTACACATTAAAGTAAAAAAATGCTCAGCTATAAACCAAGGCTAAGTCATATAAAAATATTTTGCATTATTTTAATAATGGAACTAGGTTAGACAGAAGAGAGTTCCATCATTTTAAATGCCAAGTTTTCTTCCTTCACTTCTACAAACAGCTTTCTGATAATGAACATGAAAATAAACTTTCCAAGGCCTGTGAATTAGCCTACAAGGTTATCAAGTGACACAAGTCTAGGAAAAAGAGTTGTTTGGATTTTAAAATTTTAAAGTTTTAAAATGTGCTCAGCAGGACATTTAAGAGGAAGAATAAAGTCTCACTATCCAGGCAAAACGAAGTTTTGAGCACTGTGCATCCTCCTGATACTTATTTTTCATTAAATTAATGGGAACTTTATGACATTTAATTACTTTAGTCTTATGAACTGCTATGGCTTTTAAGTAACTTTGATATACAGATAGTTATGAGCAATCACAGTTCAATACAAAATAGCTTCTCCATAGACCTTTAGCAAAGTGGTTTCTTTAAAGCAGTAACAAAATCCACATGCTAACTTGTCCCAGGTAGGTTCATGTTCCTTGAAGGTTTTGTTTTGCCTTTTTTTTTAAGCAACAAGCAATATTATTTCCCATAAGAGACTTCATACTTGTTTTTTAACTGTAACATTATCAACTTCATAAGAAGCAGAAATCTTCAAAAATTACTGTGTGTTAAGAACTTACAAATTATTCACAAATTTGAAAACTTCTGCATATAACCAGAATCTTGACATAAAAATACACAATAATTAAAGTCTCTTTAGTTTCACTGTTCATAAATTTCCTTGTGATTTGTACCCAGGGTCTCCTAAACAATTCTCTCTTCCCTGTCTTCCCAGTCCATCATACACTGCAGAAGTTTGATGGCCAGCACAGGCTGTCTGATTAGCTGGCAGTTATATGTTGTTCTTGCATTTCTTCTCTTGAGGCAATAATTCAGATCTCTCTCTACCCAGCTGGAAGTTTCATAGTCTGCAGAACGTAGTTTTCTTTATGGCCCTCTGACTGAAAGAATTAGCTAACCAGTTGAACAGGCTGTAATCTGACAGGAAGAGGGGCAGAAAAACAGCACAGTCACAAACCACCTCTTAGAGGAGAAGTCTAATGCTCACCTTTTATTGGTAAACTGATTTTTAAACATCTAGGTTTATCATACTTCCAGTTTTAGAAATCTGAACTTTGTAGCACAGGAGGGGCTTTTTGAACTTAGAACTGTTCTAGTAAGTGAACTTAATTCCACACCCTACAAACTGGCTGTCACCCTGCATAAACACAAGGACATTCTAATCCTTCTCCATACATCTTAACACTCTGCACTTCATAGAAGACTGTAATTTGACATTAGAGAACTGATTTTAGGTTTTGTTTTAGTTAAGAACACAGCTGGACAACAGTTCTTTCACTTCCAAAAACAAAGTTAACACTTTCAGCTACACAAGTCTGACAGCTCTGAGAATGACAGAATCATGAAGTATTTCATACCAAAAATTGACGTGAACCACTGCTTTTTTAATGACACCCTAATTAGGGTTTTATACAACATATATTATGCATGTGTGCCTTGCACTTTATAGAGGATAGCTTTAACACTTTAATCCAGTGGTTTTGAATTTGTTTTTTCAGGCACTTTTTTTCCTCAAGAGAGATATTAAGCTGCTGGATGCTGACATGGCTTTAATGCTACTTCAGCTTTATTATGTAAGACGTATACATGATCACTCCCATTCTTAGCTGAAATGATGTGAATGTAATAAGCAGATTAAGCACCTGTAGGAAAGCAAAGCCAGTCTTCCTAAAGATGATCTGCCTTCTAACCACATTTCAGCATTCAGTTCAAATATAAATTAGTTTTAGTAAATAAAATGTAAGAAAATGCATAGCCAAGGATAACTGAAATAAACAAGTGCTTACCTTGACTCTCCACTGCTGTTTCCTACACTTTCTTCATCACTGTGCCCATTCATTGTAAATATTAAAAAGTTTAAAAAAATAAATAGAAGTCCACTCAAGGTACAAGGTGGATATCAGGAATCCACTTCTTGCTACTCTGTATGTTTTCCAGACACTGTACGGGTTTGCTTTAGTGTTGTCAGCAGGTATTCAAGATTTCTCCCAAAACACCTAAAACAGGAAAGGAAAACATTAACACAATTTTAAAGTATGTTTGCAATTAAAAAATAAACTTTTTTTTTCCCACTAACAGTGAAAGGGGCATGTTTGACATCATGTCTGTAACTCAAAAAAAGCTTTTTTTTGTGCATGTGTTACCTGTTCATGGCTGATCATTTTATCACTATTTCCATTTCTGAGGAAAAAAAAAATTCCTGCTATCTGTGAAAACAAGAAAAAATAATGCCAGATAACAACAGGTCTTCATATTAATTATTTTTTAAAAACTGGAACATGTAAATAAAATACACAAAATGCAGGGGAAAAATTGTTTTGCTTTTTGTTTGTCTAGTGCACTTCTTTTTGCCATTATGCTTCTTTATGCAACTTTTCATGGATGGTGCTATAAAGATGGAAATTTCTGCTGAACTACTAGCTCCAGAATAAGAAAAATTACAGAAATTACATTTGCATTAGTACTGTGGGCTGAGAACAATTTACTGCCTATCTGCACCATACTTCATGTCTTAACTTTGGGCATAACTTTTGTCCTGCAACTTTGAATGCAGAACAAAACAGATCTAAATATTAAAGAAAAAATGCCTACTAAATGAGGTAGGTAAATATTAATGTTCTGCTAAGATCTTCTTAGTAAAATGTATTTCATACACAAAACATAGTGCAAGTATTTCCAGGAACACACGTAATGCGACCCACTTACAGCTGTGGGCAGGAGCAGGAAGATAAAAGACTGTACATGAGCTTCCACAAAATCAAATTAGCAAGATCCCAGAGATGGAATGACCATTATTCCGTATACATTAGTCTCCTACGCCTGGTTACTACGCAGTCGTAGGAGTGTAGGAGTATTGGTACTGTATTCGATGAAGCCAGAGAAAGTTTAGGCTCACGGTAAATAGGCCGCAAGTACAAGCTCAGTGTTAATCAGATCAACTCGCGCCCTCATGGACTTAGTGGTGTGAAGGCGATTAGGGTCTTGCCTGCCCCGGGGTGCTCCCCTAGAACAAGCTATAGCCCAAACCCGAGCCCATCGAGGCGGTGGTGAGGGAACTCTCGCCCTGAGGCGGACACTGCCCTCCGCTGACACCACCGGGCCGCTCCGGACCGCGAACAATGGCGATGAGGAACGGCAGCGAGATCGGAAGGAAACCCGCAGCCACAGCGGGGCCGCGAAGAACAACTGGGGACCCCGCGGGGAAGTCGGGGGGCGCCGGGAGATCCCGCGACGGCACGAACCGCCGCGCCTTGGGCACCCAGGAAACATCGCTGGCGGCGGCAAAACTTTCTCCCCGCCGCCTGCTCTCTGCTCCGGGCCGATCCGATCTCATCCGATCTCGACCCTCATCCTCCACCGCCCGCGCCGCTCTCTCGCTGCCCGCCCACAGGGAGCGCGGGCAGCGCCGCCCGCTCGCACCGCAATCGGCGCGGCCTGCACGGGCGCCGCTCTCTGGCAGCGCTTCCAAGGCCATCGCCGCCGCCCTCCACGATCGCTTTCCCCGGCGCCCCCCACAGCCCGGAGCGGAACCGCTCTCGGGCCGCCCGGGTGGCTCCGCAGTGGCTCCCCCCGCAGGAGCGCGCGGGAGCACCTCGGCCACACTGCCCACCTCGGTCCCGGAGAATCCCTCCCTCTTCTCCACAGAGAACAGGCAGAGGGCCCGACGAGCCAGCCCGGCGCCGGGCATCGACCCCCCTCGAGACCGGCAGCGGGCCCGCATTTCCTCCGCACCGCCCGCCCCCCTCTGGCTTTCATCTCCCGGCCGGCGAAGGGAGCCATAGCGGCCTTTGCCTACCTGCAGTGCGTGGGGCCCGACCGGCCCAACCCACCCCGGGACCCCCAAGGCCCGAGGTCTCGATGCGCCCCGCGGGGCGTACTGCCGCTCGTACCGCAGCCCCGGGTCGCGGGCGGCTCCCGCGGCCGCGGCCGGGCCTGGACGGCCGCCGCTGCTCTTGCTGGCTCCGCGCTGCCCGCGCCGCGGGCTCGCTCGCTCTATCGCTCGAACAATGGGGTCAGGACCACGCTGGGAGGGGCGCAGGGAGAACCGGGGTGGGCGCAGCTCTGCTCCGCCGCCGACTCCTAAGTCCTGGCGACCGCCGCCATCACGCCGTCGCTCCGTTCAGCCTCCCCCTCCCGCGGTCGGATGGAAACCCCGGGCGTGATGTCAGCCCTGCGCCCTGGGACCGACCGGCAGCGGGAGGAGGAGCTTCGGGCGGGGACGATGAGCAGCAGCCCTGTAGCCCGGCCTCGCACTGCCCCAGGGAAGCCGTGCGGTCGCTCTGGGAGCCGGCGGGCTCGCTGCAGCTCCCGCCCGCCATCTGCCCTTACCTCGCTTCTGCCTAGCGCTGGGAATACTCCCATCCCGATGTGCGGCGCACCGACGCTGCCCGAGGAGCGCCATGAGCTGAGCGCCGCGGCCGCAGCCCGGAGCGGGTCGCCTGATACTGCCCTGCGCGGCGCAGGGGTTTTGTTTGCGGTTTTCGGTGTAAAATCACGGCCCGACGACAAATGTAACCGCGTTTCTCACTTCACGTGGTCACAAGCGGTGACGAAGCATGCTTAAAGAGGTTTGGACTGTTCCCAGGCAAGGAGCTGGCCTTACTCCTTGAATCCAAGTATCCGCTCCGTGCCAGTGATCAGTATGGTTTAACGAGACGCATGTTCGTTATTGGAAAAAACCGAACAACTCAACCCCGAAAAAAACAACAGACAAGCAAAAAAGTATTTTGTGTGTCCAAATGTTCCCAGAGTGAGTGGCAAAGAAAAGTAGCAGCTGTGTGAGAGAGTGCTGTAAAAAACATAACACGGCGCTGGAAAGTGGAAGCAGCTTACCTGCCTTCTTCCCCATGCAAGCACACCTGCGCTGTAAGGCTCTGTCACTCTGCAAGAGGATTGTTGGGGCATTACTGACTGACATCTAGCACCAGACCTTTGAACACCCTGCAAGGGTGAAAGAGGTCAGATCAGCAGGAAAACAGTTCCGTCATCAGTGAAGGAGATCTTGAAGGAAGCTACTCACGCTGTGGGTATATGAGAGGAAGACAGTCACAGCAGCTGTCAAATTAATTCAGGCTTGAAGAGTTGTGTTGGCTCGAACCCACATGTGAGCCACAGTCACTCAGCTGGAGGCCTTAACTCATGGTTACTCTTCCAGAGTGAGCAATGCTGACTGCCTTGGTGCTCACTGATGTGTGGGACAGCTGTTGCACACAGCACCCTGCAGCTGAGTTGGTTAGGTTTCCTGGAGCCTACCAAGGAACCTCCAGTGTGCCAAGCATGATGTGGTGTTGGCTGTCACACTTAGTTCCCTGTCTGAGGAGCTGCAGAGGCCAGATGAGGCACATACATTGTCTCAGTTCTCAAGCACCGTATAGGAGATTACGGAGTGATGGATGGCAGAGAAAAAAATTTTCCCACTGGAGTTAAAAAAGATGCATTTAGGAATTGCTTGGACAAGAAAACAGCCTGAAAGTTTACAACAAGGGGATAATTATACTATGCTCCTTACTGAAGCACTAAAGTTTGCCTAAGTCATCTTAACAGAGAATATTTTGTGATAGAGTGCTGCGAAGAGGAATGGACTCAAGTTTAAATTGAAGAGTATCAAAATAAAAATAACTTTTAAATTAAGGTAAATTTAAAAAAAAATACCTAACCCCTTCCCATGGGCAGGTGGTTGTTCAGCCATCCCTAGGGGAGCAGTGCCCTGTCACCTATCCCACCATCCTTCTTTTCCCCTCAGTTTTATATACTGAGCATGACACCATATGGTCTGACCCTGTGGTCATTTGGGCTCCACTGTCCTGGCTTCCACTCCTTGTGCACCTCTAGCCTCCTCACTGGTGGGATGGGATGAGGAGCATGAAAAGCCCTGATTCTGCATAACCCCTGCTCAGCAGTAATTAAAACATACTTCTTTTATCAACACTATTTCTAGCACAAATCCAAAACATAGCCCCATTCCAGCTATTGTAAATAAAACTAATTTTATCCCAGCCAAAACTAGCACACCTACATGTTTATTGTATTTTACTTAATAATCTTCTTGGCTTTTTCAGTTTTTTTTACCCTAGAAACTCTATGTTTATAGAGTTCTCAGTTCTGAGCCTTGGAAATCCCTTTTGAAGGTATATTTTTACAATGATTTAAATAACTGGAGTCAGAACTGCTGTGATACCAACCTCATCTGCTACAAGAGCCAAAAAATATCCAGTTAACTGTCTGAACTAGGTCACCATGCAGCTGCACATGCAATGATCCCTGTGCAGTGTGATAGTAGTAGCAGTTGTTACTTAGAGTGCTCGAAAATTGCCAAAACATTGTCTGGAGATCTTTCTCCACTTCCATGTGAGAAGGACTTTTCTTTCACTTTTCTTTCTTCATTTTGCGTCTTTAACCAATTCCTTCTTTCCCAGATGCCACAGCAAAGTATAGATGACATTGCTATCTTAGCAGCATTTTATACTGTAAGTAAAACTGACTTCTGGTACACACATCTTTCAGTCTGCATCAAGAAAGAAATACACATAATGCACAACATTTTAGGGACAGATGGACAAAGCTTTTTCATATAACAGAAAACTACCACCTGTGGAATAAATTATAATTAAATATAAAAAAAATAATTAAATTGGTTTTTTGTGAAGCTGTATTGCAAGTTTCTGACACCTCACCAGGGTGTGGGTGAGAATATTTATTGTGCCTAAGGAGTCACTGATTTACCCCACCCCAGCAGTTTGTGAGTTGGATTTTTGCTTATAAACAAGAGATAATCAATGCGCTGTACAACACAGCTGCACTGTTATGCATGAACAGAATCACTTTCAAAGTCTATGTTTTCAGATTATTTATCTTTCTAACACTGGTAGAGGTTCATGTTTATCACAGCAACTTTTGTTTAAGAAAGGACTTACCACTGTTCTATTCTTAACATTTAGAAATTCTGGATAAAGAAGCTTTTTCTTTTTAAAGTACTGAAGCCTTCAATACTGCACCTAGCAGTTTTAGTGAGGTAAGATAGATGCAAGAAATAGCCTTAAGATTTCACTATGCACTAAATTATGTTCTAGTTTCTTCGCTATTTGTTCTCTTCTTTCTAAACAACTCCTTCACCACACTTAGTTACTTTGATTCTTCTGCTTCTACCCTTCAGGTAGCTCTAAAACATGTCCTGAAGATCTTAAAGACCACAACTTGAGATATAATTTCGTAGCAAAGATTTTCTTTCTCTTGAGTAGCTGTTAAATGCAGCAGGTATAGTCTAGTTTGCTTCTTTTAATTTTCATTCATTTTGTATCCCTACTGTTACTCCATTTAATTTTACATTCTCTCCTCTACTAAGAAGCAATTTATGTAAGTAACACAGTCATTATCCTGTGACTTGAGTCTTTCTTGCCTTCTTTGCCTCTCACACTCCTTTTATTTTTACAATATGCAGAATCCTGTCCTCACTTGGGCCTAACCAACCAGCCAGCTGCAAAGTGCTAAAGACTAGAGAGATAAGATTTAGAGAAAAACAACGGTGACAAAAACTCCAGTTATTTTATAGAATTAGTTGGAAAAAAAATTGATTCAGTGCATTCTGGTGTAGGGGGAAAAAGCTAGTCTGAATTTTTTTATCAGTTTAGTCTGTGGGCCTCTTTCAGATTACTCTTGTTAGAAATCAGTTTAGTTTAGATCTGCGACTTGCTTAGGTCTTCACAAATGGTTGATCAGAAGTGGTTACTCCAAAAGAATTTTATGTAATATGCAAAGTCTTGTTAAATTTAAATATCAATTATCTGCCAATACTTAAAGTGCAAGTAGATTTGTCAACTGCAGTGCACAGAAACTGGAATTATGGAAGAAAAAAGAAAGAGTGAGTAGTTAGATATATTGCTTAAGTTTGACCAACTAACCATAGAGATTTTTTTTCATTACTTAATTATAAATTTCTTACAATATTTGTGCGATTCATAAAAAATATGTCAGTACATAATTTAAATTATTTTCAATTTAAAAATAACACCTTTGCCTGGTACAAATGTATGCATAAAATTTCTTAACTATATGGATTTAATTAAATAGAACAACAAACTGATCGCTGGACAAGCATGACTATTGCTTCACTTAAAACTTCACATTGCAATCAACTAAAGTTTTAACTGATTGCTACCTTGTCTGAACAGAGTATCTGTACACAATTGGACCTCTACAGAAACATTGTATCTCTGCATTGGCTGAATATCTTGCTGCAAAGCTGGAACGATTAATATAAACAGGGGCATTTATATGGTTATAATAAGCCTTTAAAGTTAATATGCATCAGGACATCTGAGAAAAGTTCACACTTTTCTTTGAAGTACTGTTTTGTTTGGTCTAATTCACCACAGATTTGTTGGAAGCATTAATTCTTTCCAAAAACAGCTGCAGGGTGTAGACCATAGATGTCAAATAAGCATTATGTCTATTACTGTTTCCTTCTCAATGTTTAGCTAACAAAAGTATAAATTGAGTGTAAACTGTACTTTTCTTTCTCTTCTTAGATATTAACCTGAACAATCAAAATATGTCAGGTTCTACATGTTGGTAGGTTTAATATGCCATAACTCTCCTTTAGAGATCTGTTATACTATTTCTAGGGCAGACTGTCTTTTTCAGGGTTTGCAACAGTCATATCATCCAAGTCTCGTTCATCTGGCACCTTTCTCTCTTTCCTTGTTTGCTTGGTGGTGTATCATGAACTTGTAGAGATCTCATTCATGATTTGTCTTCCCAAATTCACATGGCTGGCCAGCTGGCCTGGTTTGTAAAGTGTTGATCAGGTACACTTGGCAGGTGGAATATCACAGCAAAAGGCATTATACTGGGCAGGTCTGTTGGAATTTGCACCCATGCTTAATGAGCTCCTATCATAAGGCATTTCTTGTGCTGCAGGCCCTCCTCTGTGACCATGTGTTAGCAGGAACCTCTTTTTCATTTGATAAGCATTGTTATGTAGCCTAGTGCATATAATGCCAATTTTTTGTAACGTGTCACTGTAGCCTTAGTTTTTCTAATTTACTGAAGTTAAAAAGCATAAAGTGGCATAACTATATGCTACTATATATAACACTCTATTTATACCTGGAAATTTTATTTTCATGCCTGTTTCATTCACAAGCTTCCGCTGCTTATATTCCAATCTGACAGAGCTTACACTGCAAGTGTTTACAAATGCAGATGTTTGGAGCTTCCTCTCTGCTACAGGAATGCCAATCTTAGGCATCAGTTCTAGCAAACCAACATATTTTATGCTGGTATATCGGTTACATTTGGCCAAAACCTTGACTTTGTACTGGAGTAATGCAATTCTCTAACTGGACTAACTGAAAACATGTATTACATTAGACTTAGTGCAAGTTGACTTTTTTTCTCTCTGAGTTGTGGCGGTATAATGGGAAGGTCATACTAGAAGTAATGAGTAGTCTTTTGGTACTTCAGTACTTCTAGGTACAAATAAGTTTATAAAGAGTAACAGTTTTCAGTGTCTGAGTCTTTTTCTGAGAAGAGCTATTTGAGTGTGCAGAATTCAGCTCAAAGCTAAGATTTTTTACTTAATCCTAATGCTGTTAGGAAAAATATACTAAGAATTTGAAGGAATCATATGTGAACAGTTTATTCCAGTTACTAAATGGAGGATAAGCAGGAGTGCTGTCTGAAAGAGGAATCGTGCTTCTGTACCTAACATGTAGCATATAAAATATGAAGGTGTGTTTGGAAAAGACCTGCACTATATTGCTCTGTACAACAAAACCAATCAATTCTTTGATAGAGTGATGGAAAGCAGTGATTTTGAAGCTGAGAAGAGTTGCAAAAATGCAGAATATATTTATTCCTTCAAAGTGTTTGTACTGTCATTCAGAATTTAATCCTCAAAATATTCCTGCAAGACACAGTAAATAAGAATTAAAAGGATACAATAGCATTGGAAGAAAAAATGGCTACAAAGTGTTAACTGCATGTACTTTACAGCAAGACACTGAAGATGTAACAGTGTCTCTATTTTCTCAGGTTGATTTTTAAACTAATTACAAAATTCATTTCCTGCTAATGTAAATAAAAGAAGGGCAATGGGGCCTCAGATTTCTGAGGTCTTGTCTAAGACTGATCATTAATGTATTAAAATATAGATCTCTGTCTCCAGGTTTTACCAACAAGATTGGATAAAAATTCTGAAATTATTGATACCAAGCCTTAATTCTTCCAAAGGATTATTAAGGAAGTTAATGATTTAACTTTAGAAGTAGAGCTGAGAACTCAGTTTAGTAGGAAGGAACACCTTAGAGACAGGGATTTGTTACTTGAGGCAGAAGAGAGCTAAGTCAACCCTAAAACTTAAAGAAATGTAGGAGAAATACCTTTGCTGTCAGACTAGCATGTAAGACTCCATTGTCCAATCATACAAGGCAAGGAAATATAAGAGGGTTTAGATCATGTGCTAGAAAATATGAAGCTGTATGCGAGGGCTGGAGCAAAAAAGATAAAGTTCTGTGAATTCTTGGGAGCTGGTAACCGTGAAGTTATAAAGTGTCAGACTTTCTTAGAAGGTAGCATGAGTAACAAGAAATTCTAAT